TGATCAGTTTCCACGAATCCACATACATTTTAACGTGCTGGCTAAATCATGCTCCTGTTCCAGTGATGAAGTGATTTGCGTATTTTTTATATTTAAAGTATCTTATTTAATGTTTTCGAGCGTAACATTTTTCGCCTTATTATGGGGAAGCCCTATCAGCGACCCTCCCCGGTCGCTAATCGGGACGAGTTCCCCATTAGCGTTTTTTTTTTTTTGCAATGGTTTGCGAAAATGCTCACTCACTACAAATGAATTTGGAGATATTGGGGCAGAAAATAAATAGATTCTGATAGAAAATAAACGATCTCTCCGAAAATCAATCCAGTAATACAGTGGCAGTGATGGCACCCATACAGCGTGAGCAGTGACAGTTTAAATTGGGGGGTCGCTAATTAGGCACCTTTCCCTAGCAGGGGTGTAATTTTCCCAAAGTGGGTGCTCAGCTATAGGGGCGCCAGGCCTCTTAGGGGACGTATGGGGCGCCAGAAGGTTACAAGGGCGCCGAGAGACCATCACAGGGGCGCCATTCTCCCTGAGAAGGGCGCCGAGTGATTGAAAACGCTATGTGGTCCAGGGGCGCTGAGAGGCCAGAAGGGCGCCGACGGCCGAACAGTCGAGGGATGCAAGGTGGACAGAGACATAAGGGCACGAGACGTTCAGGAGGGCGCCGTTAGACCATGAGAAGGGCGCAGTGCTGTCAAAAGGACGCCATTCTCCCAGAAGGGCGCCGAGTGATTAAAAACGCCATATTATCCAGGAACCCGAGGCGGTCAGGAGGACGCCGTTACAACATGGGAAGGGCGCCGTGCTCTCGAAAGGGCGCTTGTGACATAAGACTTGTGGCCGTGGGTGCATTTTCATCATTATGGGGCATATTTCAGGATTGTGGGTGCATCTGCCCCCACAAAGAGATATAAAATTACACACCTGTTCCCTAGTGTCTACCTAAATGTAACCATTTTGTTATGAAAACACGTCACTATGAGTCAATGCACTTTGACTGGGCATTTTAGTTTCGCAGGCCAGATCCTAACAGTAACAGAAGCAAGCTTTCGGGAACCACTGTCCTAGGATTTACGCCTTTGCTTCAAAACAGCTGAGTGACGAAAAAAAACTATTTACCAAAACACCGTTCTAGGTTATTCGTTTCTTAAGAGGCCATGCGGAAAGGATTGACAGCCTCCAAACCGCTGAGTAGGCGGCACGTGGCTGATTGGCGCCGGTCCGTATTCCAGTTTGTGCCGATTGTTTAACGGCGGCACCCGGTCACGGCCTGTAGAGTGCTGACCGGGCGCACGTGCCCCCGGCTCCTCCGGCAGCATGACCGACTCCAACAGCGGCCCAGCCGATTTACAAACAGCCGCCGAGGGGTTCAAAAGGCGCTCCACACCAATCAGGTCACCACTTGTGAAGAGACCGGTACACCATCAGTGCCATGGAGCCACAACGGTTTCTTTATTTGGTATGTTTTCTGCTCCTGTGTTTGATGGAGTTAAGACCAGCGAGAGCCACAAGGATACCGCGAAAACGCTCGATTCCATGTAAGTTGCCCCTTCTCTTAGTTCTCCAGTACATTTTCTATGGGTCTTTAGTCCAAAGGCATTTTTTTTTGGATGGTTATGATTACACGACAGTAATATGCTTTAAAAAAAATCATGAACACGTATCGCTTATGACGTGCTTTTCATTTAACAGGCTGAATGTAAACGATTCAGTTTCTTATGATGTTAAAAGCAGCACTTATGTACCCCTACACTACAAAGAAACTGAAGAAAAAAGGCTGCATATTGCATAACTTTCTCACATAGTAACGTTTAAAGTGACCATCCCACCTTAACTGAGTTTGGAGTTGAGATAGCCAAATAGGGGTCCCTGGCTTGCACTTACCGGTTTGGACACTGACAACATCGAGAATTGCTTTAATTCGGAGATATTTAATTTCAAACTTGTGTTTTCAGCTTCTAAGGGGCTAATTCATTTGAATGCCCTCTTACATTTTGTGATGTCAGCGCAGATCTAACTATTTCTAAATCTTACTTAAACCATCGGTAAAACGTGTTGGTATATGCTGCTTTGCGCGCAACATCTGCCGCACTTTTAGGATGCCAAATTACTTCTTCCAAATGACGTCGTAAGGAACAGCGGAGGTCTCAAAAGTAAACAAAGTTAAAAAGTATAGTATCTTGAAAACCAGTGAATATTTTTCGGTGAAGTTTGGTAGATATTCATTTTTATCTTTCTGAACCACGGGACATCACTTTTATGCCAATTCATTAACTTTTCGAAAGAGCGAGGGTCCGTTTAATATAAGGTTTGATTGATTTAAAATGTTTTGATTTTATGTTTGTTAGTCATTATGCAATCTGCAATCTGCAATCTGGTAACGTTTATATCGTGTAGGTGTACTTCGCAGTGGATAGGTACTGGGTTTCCTTCGTGAATGATTTCAATGCATTTTTTGTCGCACTTAAATTAATTTCAGCTAATTTTCCTGCCTTTTGATATTTGGATGAATAGTTCGAAAACCGTTTCACAGATACGTACGACGTCAGCAGTTGGTCCTCTCCGTTATACGGCGCCAGCACCTGGTCGTCCCCGTACTGGCCCAGCACGTCGCCGGGACCCCAGTACATGATGGATACCGGCCGGCTGAGGGCTCGCAGCTGGCCGTCCCTGCTGTCGCAGATGAAGGGGCCTCCAGACGCTCCGGCACCCAGCCCGGCACAGGTGCCCGGTCTGGAGCCCAGTCCGGTGTCGTACCTACCGCTGCCGGCGCTGCTGGCGGCGCTGCGCGCGATGACGCCGGCCTCTGTCGGCGTCAGCGCGGCGCCGACTGTGTGCGTCCACACCCACCCGGGGGTGGCCGCCCCCGCCAGCGAGCTGTCCTTCGGCGACCTGCTGACTCCCGGCAGGGACAGCCAGGCGCAGACGCTGCAGATGCTGCTGGACAGGCTGATGCCGGGCGGCAGCGTCCTGGCGTCCCGCACGCCAGCCAGCAGCGGCACCCGGCGGCCTGGCGAGCTGCCCGACCTGTCGTTCCTCAGCGGGCTCGGTCTGGGGCTGCTGAACCCGGACCTGTTCCGGTCTGCCGCTGAGGACTTTCCCAGGCCGAGTATGTCGGAGGCGGACCTGAGGGCCGTGGCTGCAGCAGAGAGGAATGCCGGGGGACGGCCGACACTGAGAGGAGGGAACCCCGACTCGGAGATGTTCCCTCGCAGCGTTCAGTCCTCCCCCGAGCCGTCTGAGGCCGATGACTCGCAGCGGATCAGCATGCTGCTGTCGGCCAACGGCGGCGACTGGGCTAACAGGATCGACAAGCGGCGCCGGCGACGCTCCGTGTCTCACGGCGGTCAGAGGGAGACTCGCCATCAGATGTCCCAGGTGCTGAGTAAAATCATACGCCGCATCGGGTTCGAAAAGTACAGCGAGGCTCTGCAGGTGATCATTCAGGATCTGCAGCCGCTCAAGGAGGCGATGAACGCCGCGCAGCGGGACCTCAGCAAGGTGCAGAGAACGTACCACAAGTTTGAGAACGACCTGAACGGCCTACTGGAGCAGACTCGTGAAGCACAACAAATTCTTCTCTTTATTCTGTCGTCACTATTTCAGGAGAACATTGTTATGCGCGGTAAACTCGAGGAGTGTCATGCTTCTAAAAAGGTTATCACTGCCAGGATGCGCTTCCCAGACAACACCGACGAGCTGAACAATCTCCGGCATCAGTTGGAGAGCAGGATCAATCGATACGACACGCTCATCATCAATCTGATCGGTAAGAAGTCTGAGCTCGAGGTGGAGCGACAGCGGCTGCGAGAGAGGTGCAACATCCCCATCGACTCCGGCACTCAGCCGGACCCGTTCAGTCTGAGCACGTTCCTCTCGCTGATGACCGGGATCGGCGAGCCGAGCAGCGCTCAGCGCGACATCAACATCCTGCTGATGCGCCTGTTCCCCGACCTGTACCCCACGCCGCCGCCGCCGCCACCACCGCCGGCGCCGTCCGCCCCGTTGCGACACACGGCGACGGCCGGCAGTCCCAGTGGCTGGCTGCAGGTGCTCATCCCGATGATGAACACGCGCCGCGCGTCACAGCCGCTCCACTTTCCGTTCGTGGCCCCGTCGTCGGTGAGCATGCCATACTCGTTCGCCAACCAGTACCTCCAGCGACACAGCTCCCCACTCCGCACCTCGTCACCGCTGATCGCTCAGTCAACTGATAATGGTGACGAGTTCATCATGAGCATGCTGCAGCTGATGCTGCAGCTCTACAGCGCACAGCCGGACCAGGTAGACGAGAACAGAATGAAGGAGGAGCTGGTTAACTTCGGACGAGCGCTGCTTTGCTGATGGATATCGCAAGTCATAATTTGCATGTCTGCAATTGCATTGCATTACAATATAATGTGTAGGGCGTTGCTGTAAGTTGTAAGTCATTTGGTGTATGGGGTTTCTTGTCTTGTCTTTTGGAATTGTATTCCTACTGATTCCCTTAAATGCATACAATACATCCTACCGTCGAAATAAACTATGAGACCAAACATTCAATAAAATATTCCCTTCAGAGACGTACCGATTATATACGGACAAAACACATTCAATGAACGGTTGTCAATTCAGTCAAGTACCAACAGCATTTTATTTTATAGTAGGTCTTTATTTTTATAGGTTTTTATTTTATAGGTAGCATTTTATAGGTCGTCAATAAAAGGGCACATTGAAGAATGTGGTAAAATACGCTGCAAAAAAAAAAACGAAAACAAAAAAAAACACAAATTTAGCGGCAAAATGTAGTATGCTTCGCTGTATGAATATACCCATTAATTGTAGGCCTACACGGGCCGGTCTAAGCTGTCACCATCTGCTGGCTTCGACATCGGCTAACTTTTTATCTTTTCAGAGTTCAGTTACCCTCCTGCCCTTTTGTTTATTTCGTCTTCGTATATCTTTTAGTCTGCGAGGGAGTGTTGGGTCACTTTTAGCGGTGTTAACAGCATCATGACATTCGGTTTCCAGAAATACCGCATGCTCAGTTCTCTACATACCGTGGCACGCACCGTGTCTGCCCATCGTCACGTCTTCTGAGTGCTGACATCTTCAAACAGGAAAAAGGCAGAGTTCGTTTTTACTGTATTGCAAAAATATTTACGCCCCCATCGTGCAAATATTTACGCCCTAATCACAGACCAGCGTATGCATGAAATACGCAATCACAGCTCAGCGCACTAATGCGCCTAAGGAATGCACGATGAAAGACATAAGAACACAAAAGGAATGGGCCTTCTTGAAGTTCGACGGCTTATGGGCACCGTAGTGTCAGTCAGACCACCAAGAAGCTGGTCATATCACGGTCCTTTTCCCAGGCCAGGGCGTCGGGATAACTGGCGCGCTTCTGGAATCCATCAATGAGAGGACCGGGGTCCTCAAATACCGGCAGGTGTACAGGGGGCGTGCCAGCCTGCAGCAGAAAGAAAGAGTTGATTAGACGGAGACTCATGGCATGTTTTCTCTTCTTTGCATCAGATGGTCGCAGGTTGACTGAGTCGCAAAACACACAAAAGTTATACTTACATGTTAGGTATAGCTTGTTAATGTTGATTGCAAAGACGTCATGGAAACAAAGGGAAGTGTGTAGGCAAAATGACCATTTTACAGCTAACGCTGTCCTTGTAATTAAATTATCAACATAATGATTTTTACGTTTCTGTGCGCAGGCAGCACGCCATAGTCCACAGAAACCAAACCACTATTTTACTCACCGTGACTACGACCGTCCTTTCTGTGACCGGCGCCTCTGGCTGTTCAGGGTTAGAAGTCGAAATCCTGCGAAACATACCGCTTGGTGTGGACATATGAAGCGAGGCCAATGGCCGACATAAATAAAATATTGTACCTACACTACAGGGGATCAACCCCGTTGAAGTTTGTACTTTTTTCTAAGCTTATATAGGAACTTTTATATGCATAGAAAAATAATATTTGAATGAAATTGAGACGTTGTGATACTTACATACTTCCCCCATCTTCAAAAAATAATACCGAACTACGGCTAAATCTTTGGAAGAAGCGAATGAACAATATCAAAAATAAAATTTGAACGCCTCGCTTCTTATCAATTCTCCAGAAAAGCATTAATCGGCAGTCTGTTGAAGTGTCACTATTTTATAGTTCTTATTCCTGCATGCAGATTACCATCCACCTTTGTATATTCTATCCACCGGCATTGTCCGTTTTATTCGTGGTCATACCCACCCAGCACACTGCGCACGCCTACCTGAACCTTGCTGCGTGTCGGTGGAGATCATCCAGAGATACTTCACAGGTCGATGTGATGAAGGCCCGCAGCTCGGAAAGCCGGCAGCTTCTGCGGCAGCAGGCGTCGACTATCCTCTCGCCTGCAAATCATCGACGAAATGCAATCAACGAAACGCATACCAATCGGTACACTATTTGCTCCATAGTTATATAAAAGTTAAAGAGGAATGAGATTGCGATCGCTTATTAGATCAGAAACGAATGCGATATTCGAATAGGCCGTATGATGACGTAAAAGCATAATGTAATCAAAAGAAATACACTTATTACTAAGACATACCAGCGTGACGCAAACGCGTGAGTATGGCGTTAGCGACGGCGCGCCCGTCTCGACGTCTACGGAAGTGGCAGGCGTTTTCAATTAGGTCAGTCAGCTCTGATCCACAGACGAACACAAAGAAGTCGGTTTCACCCTGGTTTTCCGAGTCGATTTCGCCCTGATGTTCCGTTCGCCTGGGGCGCGTGGCGAGATAATTGGCTTCTCTAGCGCCGCCGCCCGACCTCCGAGCTTGTTTCTCGCTGCTGAGTGTGGCGGGTCGGCCTACCCACCAGGGGCTGAATAGGCCCTGAGGCGCCGCCGCCGGTCGGCTAGCTTCCTCGGGCCGCCGCCAGAGGCGCTGGTATTCTGTCAGCAGTGAAGATGGTATCGGCTCATCCGCTGACAGTTGAAGCGATTCGCGTGATTGTGGCACTGTTCGAACGAGGCCTTCCTCGCCGCTGGCTACCGTCGCCACGACGAACAGAAGAATCGACGGGAGACCAGGCATCTGTGCAGACAGTCGAAAAAAAGAACAATACAGTCACAGTTCAGCGACTGTTAGCTGAAACTTGCGATAGATAATGGTCTTTCATTCAATTATTTTAACACTTCCTTCAAGAGAAACTGACATACAGCGATAATCCTAAATGTTATGAGCGATGCATTCACGGCATGCATGTCCATGCGTCCATTGTTTCGTACAGGAAGGAAGATGATGTGTTAAGTTCTCGTTTCATCGTGCCATGCCCATATATCTCGGCCTATCTGCGATCTGGGCCATAGGGATGAGACGTGATAATGTCTGTTACGTCGTGTGATAGGTGTGTAACCATTTCAGGTAGACCACGACTCCTGAGTCGGTTTCCAGGAACCGGCTGGCCGGTATCCAGATCAGCTGTAAACATTGTGTGACCACCGCTCACAACTCGCGCTTATCGGCCGGAAACGGGCAGACATGGGGCCGTTGCGTCCGATCGTCCGTCGTCCGTGTGGCGGTCTGCGGTGTTTGGTTTCCGGAGAAAACGACACTCGGAAAACCATACGGTTCCGGTCAGCGGAACAGCTGCACGTCGAGGAAAACTCTCCGCGAGTCAAAAGGCCCCAGCATCCACGCTATGTCTATAAACCCTATGCACGCCATGGACATTCTCAATATTACTTTACAAATTAGAGGCCGTGTGGTAAGCGCTAGAAAGACCAACGCGACGGAAGGCAATGTGTTGGCTGTCGGATCTTTATCGGATGAATGAAATGCCGGACACTGTTTGGCAGGTGTATGCTAGCCGAATTTTACAGATTTTGTTTCATTTGTTTCATTTGCCAGCAAGCAGCACCCAAAAGAGTTTGGACTACGTATATAACATCTTTGCTCATCCGGCCAATTTAGTGTTGAAAAACCGGTCATTACAGCAGTGATTGGCTTCTTACTTATCCGTATCTGAGCCATTGCAGTAACGAACAACCGTGAATGATCGGATGTGCAAAATTCTAGTTGAACAAGGCCGTGGAGTGGAACAACTTGGAACACTTAATCCTCGCCGGACCTATTGGTTTTCTACATACGCGCCGGCCGAGGGGGCGGGGCGGGTCTCGCCCCTCTCGCCGTTTCGCCGGCCCTGGTGGAGCTAGCGCGTCGCGGAAAAAAACGAGCGTGTGCGCCGTTACGAGACGCAGAGATTGGTACCCGATTTTAATGTCCTGGAACAACCGGTGACCTCTGAGGTCAGGTCAAGTGCCCCAAGGTCGGTTCTGTTTTTGGTAAATAACTTCGCAAAAAACGGCCGCAGAGCCGCAATGTCGGCAACATCGTGTTTGCCTTGCTCAGGCGCGTCGGCCGTCGAATGATATACTTTTTGTTTGGGGTGAGGTCAACTTAGGGTGTTGACCTCGAGTCACGGTCAGGTCAGCGTCCCCCACCAGGTCACGAAATTGGTCAGAGGAGAGCATGTCGCATATCATTCGATTCGGGAGGTCTTCCTGAGTCCAGTGGTGACTTTCCTGACTCGGTAGCTCAAACTGATCGGAAGTTATTGACGAAAAACTAATATGACCCTAATAACGTCATAAATGACGTCACGCAAGGTGGTCAGCAGTGCATAAGAAACGCATCGAACCTTGCAAGGGGTGCATGAAATCACGATTCTGTGTGCTTGAGATAGTTGGAGATCGTTCCCGGCTCCAGAATAGCAGTTTTCATTTTTCCTCCATTGACTTATAATAGTGAGGTCACGAAAATGATCTGACCTCATATGAACTTTAGGAAAAAACCGAGATACAAAAGTTGTGAGACTCCTAATGAATACTAGATCTTGCAAGTTTCATTTCCCTGTGAAAGCTCCTCTGGCAGTGAGGGCGTTGCGAAGTTGCGACATCTGAAGACCGTGCAGAGGTTCACTTATGACGTCATAGGCCAGTGACCTGACCTGACCTTAATATGCGGCTGGTGTCACAAGATTCGGCTTGAATCAAAGGTCCAGTATGCCAAGGTTCAGCTCTCTATCGCCGGCGTGTCTGGAGATATCGCGAAAAAAAACCTATGGGGGGCGGCGCCCGCTCCCCCCTCCCTCGGCCGGTGAGGGCTAAGCTAATTTTCGTGTTTATGTGCTGTCGCCTGTCAGTACGGCTAAACAACGTTTTTTTGCCATTGGCTAGCTCACTAAGTCGACTATGCAGCCTGCATGAAAAGTTCCAAATACGCAATTTTCGAGTGTGACAACTGTCCATAGCCGTATACGGTTCGATATGTGACTTTTCACATTTTATTTGCCTGTTACGTAAAAAACGTCAAGCTGCTTAGCACATCAGCAATATCAAAGTATACTTATGATTTTGTTAGGCATCCTCCTAGTTAAATTTCAGAATGACATTTTTTATCACAAGATGTAATCACTGAATTGGCAATGAAGTCTGCAAGACTGCAATCGCATAGATGTGTCATGATAGGTACAGAAGTTTGTCTGGAGCCTGGATGATTTAGCAGCGTCGGATATTGCTCACCTGTGCAGCGGTGTGAGACGGCGCCGGTCGGGTCAGGTCAGGTCAGCCGCCGCTGGTGACCAGATAGATGCGCTGGTCACGCCGGGACGGACGACACTGACGCTGACCGAGCGAGGTGCGCCTCCTTTTGAACGGTGACGAGGCCCGGTCTCCACGTGGGAGTCGGACCGACCGTCGGGACGGTCCGCTCCGATCATCGCCGCCGGCACCGGAATCAGCGGCCCACTAAACCGGCGTCGCATTAGCAGGCTGTTCATTAGATGATTTGGTCGGCTTACTGTGCTGGATGGCCCACGATTGGAGGGATTTTGATCGGGAAACTAGGTACAGAACCGCGACAGCTGGAAGCCTTTTTAGTTTACCTCTGTCTATCTGCAAAACAATCAGGTCAATTAAAATTGATCTGCACCCAGCTGATGGGTGGGGGTCAGAATCTGCCCTCTCCCATTTTTCACCAACAGCTGCTTCGAAATACGTGAAAGTGACCATCCCACCTTCACTCGCGCCCTGACGGGGGGGGGGAGGGGCGGAGCATTTTGCCCCTTCCCTGTGTTTTTTCTTGAATAGCGAGAAATCGGCGACGTGCAGCGCCACCAAATTCTATGTACAGGTCTAGCGGGTTTTAGCGGTAGGTCGCTCGGCGAGCGGGAGGGCAACCAGTTCCGCCTCTGTATCGGTGACCATTTGCTCCGCCCAGTTACTCGCGAGTGCGTACTACGACACATAGTAAAGTGGGGAGGGAAGGGTCGGAGTGGCAGCCTGCGTAGAGGCTAGATCAGGTTTCTATCGTCTGGGCCGGCGACACGGCATGCGGTCAGGGGACGGGGAAAGGTCAGAGGTCACTCACAATGTTTAGTACCGCGTCCCGTCCTCTCTGCGTGCTGACCAGCACACGACTTCGGCCGTTGGCCAATCGGCATTGAACGGTCAAGGCCACACGTAGCCAGCGGGCGGAGTGAGCCGGCAGCGTGCCGATCCATAGGTAGTCGTAAGTTTTAGCCGCTTACCATTGAGGCCGGGAGACGACTGTAATGTTATTTCTTGGGAACAGTTCTGTCACTTAACCCGCGCCCCGTTAGGGTCTACCAAGCATCGGTCCCATTGGGGGCAGGGGAGTATTTTGCACCCCCACCCTAAGATCTCGAGAACCACGCAAAATAGCGACAAGCAGCAAACGGTGTTGGATGGCCCCAACGAGGAAATACCTTTTGGCTCAATTTCATTAACCTCAGTCAAACCGATGACGTCACAGGTCAGGTCAAATGTCGAATTTTCACCGTTTACAGGCATTTCAAGAAATGTGTTGAAAAATCGAGTAAAATGCATGTCATTCATCGATAAAGAATCGATGAATGACAATATTCGATGGGGAATTGCTCGTCAAACACAATTTGAGGTCACTGATACCAGGTCAGGTCACAGAGGTCAGGTCACTGAGGGTCACAATATGAAAATAATTATTATGTGATGCATGTTTCCTGGTCCATTTTGCATGACAAATGCGATTATGTGGGTCAGGCAACCTTTGGGTCCAGTTAAGGTTATGTTCTGGTGAAGGTCAGGTAAAGTTCTGGTCAAATTTGGCCAAATTTCTACTTTGATATTTTTGCATAAAATGGGTATCGATTCGATGCAGCTCGTCACGGGAAGGCTAATGGTGGTCTTTGTTTTGCGCTACGTGGTCTAGAATTGCTAAAAACTGACTTAAAAATTGACCCAATCAATTTTGAACTTTTTTTTTGCTAAAACTTGGTCAAAAAAGGAGGTATCAATCTACAATTTGTTATGTTGATCGAAGAAAGCAGGGACTATTATATGTATTCCGTTTTTTAACTTAACAAACTTTTTTTTTTGCTATTTTATATAACAGACTATTTTTTTTTTTATTTGGGGGTCAAAATCTCAAAAGTTTGAAAATCCCAGATTGCAGTTTTGTAGCGCCGTCTTTCCTCTACACGACCAGATTGAGATAGAGAGCTTTGAAATTGCTTGTTAACTGTAGCTTTTATGCGCGTTTCGAGATTTCCTGTTTTTGCTCATTTTTGCTCGAACATGACCTCAGTTTGACCTCAATAACTCCTGACCTAAGCTAACCTAAGGCTTGTGATTTTGTGTGAAGGTGTCAATTGATTCCCGGCAAACTACATACTGAAAGTTTTTTCTGCTATTCAGGAAAATACACAGAGGGGCTATATTGCCCCCCCGCAGGGGTGAGGGTTAACCGTGACCTGCTGAGGCTGGAGGTCGTTTCACAACAAAGTTTTGTTTCCTGATGCACTATATTTCCAAAACTTTTTTCACGAAACTACCAATAAATATGTTGCATGAATGAAATTGCAGTATTATTAAAAGGAAACCAGGCGTAAGAATTAAAGTAACATCACTGTAAGTTGATTTTTTGCGTTATTTTTAGAACAAAATCGAAGTGAGCCACTAAAAAAGCAAAACATTGACAAAACAAAACAAAAACAAACATTGTTTATATAGGAATATGCCATAACTCGCAACCATATCGGCGTTTTCGCAGGCGCTAATGTTTGGACGGGGATGGATCAGACCCCACAGTTAATCGGCTTTTGATCAAACTAGAGCTTCTTGAAAAGAAGGAGCATGTTGCACGTGACGAGAGGAAGCCGATGATACCCAATTTATAGATCATAGGTCATTCGTTGACCATAGGTCATACGTTGACCTTCCAAGTCAGTTAAATGACCCAATAGTCGGAGGGGTCCAGACCTGCCTTGAAGTTTTTGTCGTGAGCTTTTATGGAGCTTTCGGTATAAGAGAGAGAGAGAGAGAGAGAGAGAGAGAGAGAGAGAGAGAGAGAGAGAGAGAGAGAGAGAGAGAGGGAGAGAGAGAGTGAGAGAGAGAGAGAGCGAGAGAGGGAGAGAGAGAGAGAGAGAGAGAGAGAGAGAGAGAGAGAGAGAGAGAGAGAGAGAGAGAGAGAGAGAGAGAGAGAGAGAGAGGAGATTATGCGAAGTGCTCCATGGGATGACCAGAGTTGGACTGCCGAGACAGAGACAGAGACAGAGACAGAGACATAGGCAGAGAGAGAGAGAGAGAGAGAGAGAGAGAGAGAGAGAGAGAGAGAGAGAGAGAGAGAGAGAGAGAGAGAGAGAGAGAGAGAGAGAGAGAGATAGAGAGAGAGAGAGAGGGCGAGAGAGAGAGAGAGAGAGAGAGAGAGAGAGAGAGAGAGAGAGAGAGAAAGAGAGAGAGCGAGAGAGAGAGAAATTAGCCTCTTTAGAAAACGGTCGGTATATGTAGGCATTAAGCGACAATGCACGGGTTTAAAATGAACGTGAATCCTTCTCACTAGCCTGTTCAACGTGTTTCCATTTCCATCGCTAGTGACCTCGCCTTTAGGTCATGTGACCGGAAACCGGCAGCTAAACAGCAGATATTCTAGGGGCGCGGAAACCTTGAAGATTAGCTGTGCCGCAATGTCATCCCTAGTGGTTTTGAACCTGGCTAGATCGGCTCCATGCGCTCCGCAGATCGGCAAATTTGTAGTTAAGCAGCCATGAAGGCACCGGCCAAGTTCCTGCGCTAGTCCCGGCTAAATAAGACACAAGGTGAAGGGACCAAACACAATTTCAAATGTTGGGACGTTTCTAATCACTAGTCTGGAAACGAACGGTTAATGAGACCTGACACGCCGAATGCCCATTCTGGCCTGTAATGGGCTCTAAAAACTGGTCACAGACCAAAGGTCATTTTGGTCAGGGTCATGAAATTTTCAGTGTAGGTGTAAACTTTTAATTGCAGCTGGCCTGAACTTATCCTGACTCCTGACCGCATGGGTATCATTTACTTACGGTAAGAAAAAATAACTTACGGCACTGAAAGCTTCGCTGTTATCCGCCACTATTTACGCGAGTTATTCAGGAAAAACCGAGGGGAGGGGCTCATTTTATCACCCCTAATAAGAAGTAGGGTTTCCATTAAAAGTAAGCGGTAACATCGAAAAATAACATTTCCTGTAGGCATGTTTCTCAATTTAATATGGTGGGTTCTTTCGTAATGTTAATACATGCTTATAAGGTAAACAATATTGTAAGGTGACCATGGCACGACATTTCCATTCTATTTTATCCCGTTCGTTCTAGCCCCTCTCGCCTGCCGCCCCCCCCCCCCCCACACACACACACCACCACCACCACTACCACCAAACCAGCCGAGTTGGCTGAGGCGAGCGCCTCCCCTCCCTTCATGCCAAACAGAGCCTGGCTGTCGTGACCTCTGGCCTCACCGCCCGAAGGCTCGCCCGCTGTCCAAGGACGCCCTGCGCGGGCCGCAGTGATAGCCTCTGCCGAGTCCCGCCTCTATCCACCGTTCAGCACGCGCTGGATTCATTCATGCCTCTGTGTTTCAGCGTCCTACTCGTCGGGTGGCGCCACTGTAGTCATAGGCGACTGCAGGGAAGCCGCGGTCAGAATGCCCCAAACGGCGAATTTTGAGGTTTTCTTTGAATTTCTCCGAAACTAGCCGGCATACGATCAAACCTTTTTCCATGATCATGAAAAGGAGTTATACGAATAAATCGGTCACATCTTCAAGCCTACAAAGCTGAAGACGAAAAAGATATAGCCGGAAAGGCAAAACCTACGCTTAAAACCCGCGAGACCTGTACCTTCCCGAGCATCAATTTGACACCTTCACACAAAATTTTTAAAGTCACAAGTTACCTTAGGTCAGGAGTTATTGAGGTCAAACTGAGGTCATGCTCGAGCAAAAATGAACAAAAACATGACATCTTGAAACGCTCACAAAATCTACCGTTAACAAGCAATTTCAAAGTTCTTTATTGGTCGTATAGAAAAAAGACGGCACTACAAAACAGCTATCTCGGATTTTCAAATGTTTGGGATTTTGATCCCTAAAAATAAAAATAAAAGATTTTTATAGAAAAACTAAAAAACTTCCCACAATTTTCTCAAATTTCGTAAAAACCAGAATATATATGAAAGTCCCTGCGCTTTTCTACCTACATGCTAAATTTTAGATCGATACCTACCTACTTTGTTGGCCAAGTTATAGCGAAAAAAAAAAACTGTTCAAAATTGATTATGACACTTTTTTAACTCAATTTTTAGCAATGCTAGACCACGTAGCGCAAAACAAAGACCACCA